GTCTCGATCTCCTGACCTCGTGATCCACCCGCCTCGGCCTCCCAAAGTGCTGGGATTACAGGCTTGAGCCACCGCGCCCGGCCCATTTTTTTCATCTGTACCTCCCCGTACCTTCCCCACCGTAGGGTCATGAGGCCCAGAGGGAATTAAGCAGTGAAGCACAGGGCCTGGCTCCACAGGCAACGTTTGGGGTGACTGCCCAAGTCCAGCCCAGCTGTGGGCCGTGCTTCCCTACACCAAGACACCTTTGCCCTAAACTGAACATTTTTAAATAGATTCATCAGTCTAAGCAGACATAGAAGTGCAACCATAAAGCAGTGAGGCTGAACTGGCTTTTATTTATTTGTTTATTTCAGACAGTCTTGCTGTGTCGCCCAAGCTGGAGTGCAGTAGTGTGATCTCAGCTCACTGCAGCCCGGGCTCAAGCAGTCCTCCTACTCAGCCTCCTGAGTTGCTGCGACCACAGGCGCATGCCCCCATGCCCTTGCCCAGCTAATTTTTGTATTTTTAGTAGAGATGGGTTTTTGCCATGTTGCCCAGGCTGGTCTCAAACTCCTGGGCTCAAGCAATCAACTCACCTCAGTGTGGGGCTTGCCGGTGTGTGCCACTGTGCCCAACCTGAGCTGGCTTTTTTTGTTGTTGTTGACAACAACTTGCCCACCAGACCTGTCCATTCCAGGGAGCCACCGTCTTTATAGCATTCACACAGAGTGGCCAGGGGAAGGCAAAGCGTTTCTGGGGCCCCTCTTTGGAGAAATAAGTCACTACAAGTGACAGATCATGAGGAAGACACATGTGGAGGAGGAATCCAAAGTTTATTTCTCCATGAATGAGGCAGGCTTTCTAGAGACTTAGTTCACCAGTGACTCTTGTCATTGATCTTGTGGGTCCTGTCCTCTCTTCCAGGATACTGGCTTCTATATCACAGCCAGCTGGAAGGTACTCTTCACAGAGATGGAATCCATGCAGCTAGAGAAGGGTGCATTAGTCCTGCCTTCCCTGAATATGTCCTTGACTGACTGGTGAGAGCTGCTAGGGAGGTGACAGAAGGCAAGGACGATGCCACAAGCATCCGCTAGGCTGCAGAGCAGCAGGGACATAGGGCAGGACGCTCCCATTTGATGTTCGTTGCGACGCTCTGGCAGGGCGAGGGGCAGTCTGACACATCTCTCTTTGGAAGCAGGAATCCCCCGGCCCCCTCACCCATCCGAGCTGTCACCGTATTACCCACTCTCTCCCGGAGCTGTCGGACAAATCCCCCACCCCCTCGGCTGGCTCGTCCCACAGTAAGGAACCCACAGCCTCTCTTCCCCTTGCTCCCTCCTTGCGCCGAGCCCTGCCTCTGTGCCCTGCGTGCCCTGCACTGTGGAGCCCCCTCAGAGGCAAGCCCAGGACTAGGCCTCCCTGCTCCCGCCCGGGCAGCTTGCTCCCAGCTCTGCCTTCCCACTTCCTTCCCTTATTTCTCATCCCCTCTTCCCAAGCGCCTCTCCTCCCCTGCCCTGAGCTTTCCCAGTGTGCTGACCGGATTTCCTCACCCTCACAGGCAAGGCCAGCCCATGTACTCCCTTCCTCCTGGTGGCTTCCGGCACCCTTACCCCGCCCTCGCCATGAACGCCTCGATGTCCAGGTGAGTTCCGGGGCTGGGACTGTCCACATGTTTGTCTTAGCAACCACGCCATTTCTGACCACGAAACAGCTTTTCCTTGCCAGTTAATGAGCAGGCATAGGGCTCACCCTTCCCCCAACCTCTCTTTGGTCAAGCACCTTCTTGTGCCCCGCGCTTCCCACCCCCAGGTCAGAATGGAGACCACAGGATCACTGTCCCCATCTCGCCAACAAAAGGATTTCAAAGCCCCAGCGCTCTGCCTCCTGTCGTGGGCTCTGGCACAGAAGCATTTTGAGGACAGATGCTCCCCGACTTAGGACAGAGCCACGTCCTGATAAACCCATCGTACATTGAAAACACAACTTTCACCTTAGAATATTTGCAACATATGATGGTTTTATCCAGACATAAGCCCATCTAGGTCAAACAGAGTACTGAATTCATACCGTTTTTGCACCATCATAAAGTCAAAAATCCTAAGTTGCAGACTGTCTGTATATTGCAGTGAAGCCAGGGACTGGGAGAAGATGGATTTTTCCTGAAATGATGTCAGGAGAGGAGACAGTGAAAGGGGATTTCTGTCTTAGGGACCAGCTCTACCTGACAGTGGAACCTCTGAGGACAGAGGAAAGCCGCCCACAGCCTAAGCCCTTCTTTTCCCCAGCGTGCCCGGGTCTCTGACCCTCCGCCCCTTTTGTGTGTTTCATCCCGCCTGCTTCCAGGACCAGATGGGCAGCCTGGGTGTTGGTGGGGAGAGGGAAGAGGCATTAGGCATCTCCCAAACCTGGTTCTCTAGAAGACGACAAATAGCCTTCTAGTCCTCAGACTCTGCCCCACGGACATACCTGTGCCCTCAAGGCAGAGAGCCACCGTGTCCTCTGCCGGATGGCAGGTATCCAGCCTGAATCCCTCTGTTATCATTTGTTTCTATCCGGTGCACAGCCTGGTCTCCAGTCGGTTCTCTCCTCACATGGTGGCTCCTGCCCACCCTGGCCTGCCCACCTCAGGGATCCCCCACCCTGCCATCGTCTCCCCCATCGTCAAGCAGGAACCGGCACCCCCCAGCCTGAGCCCTGCAGTGAGCGCGTAAGTAAGCGGCAGCCTGGATTGCGGGTGAGAGGATACAGGCTGTGAAGAGGGGTGTCCACACACTGAGCAGCAAATGCCATGTACTCTTCTCTCTCGGTGTCACTCAGCAGGCAGCACAGCCTCCCCAGCCAGGCTCTCCCTCTCCGTCGGGA